CTGGGTAGGGGCAGAGCCCGCCTCGGGGCATGGACTGGAGCCGGCCTGTGGGGGTCCGGGGGACTCTGAGCCGGGGCTGGGCCGTGGGCGGGAGGCGTGGGCCATCGCGCAGACCTTCGTGCCTCACCTGGCGTCCGCTGCGCGTGGGGCCGAAGGCAGGAGGATCAGTCAGCTGGGAGCTATCCGGTGCCCCGCGCCTCTTTCCTGCCCCCGTAGCTGAACCTCGGGTTTTAATTTTTGGGGAGAGGGGACCGAGCGAGAGAGCTCTTCCCGTCCAAGTTCCGGGCCTGGCCCGGCTGGGCTCCCCAACCTGCAGTCCGGAAAAGGACACTGCCGTCAGCTTTGTTTACATATTACGCTGTCCGCCCGGCCCTACTTCTCCACACCCGAGGACTGGGAGCTGGAGTGAAGAGCAGAGGGAAGTGGCATAGGTGTTTCGATCTTGGGACGAGAGGGCCAAACTGGGAGCCTTCGCTTTGGCGTCCAGTAACTGTGCGGCAAGGATGAAGGAATGGCGTTTGGAATATGCACTTTACAGCCAGGTTGACCTGGGTTAATTTGCTAGCTTATTACTTACGGTGTGACCTTGGGCAATCACGTCATCTCTCTGAATCTCAGTTTCCCTAGTGGCAAAACAGACCTTACAATACTTGCTTAAGAAGTTTATTATGGGTATTACTTGAGGCAGCTCCTGGTTCGGCTTGGTGTTGAGGGTGAGGTGAAAGCCCCAAGGTGCCCCTGCCTTATTTCTATTTTTCCTTCCTATCAGGTCCTGTTCTGTGAGTTGATGGCCCACGTGACTGAGGTTTTGATTTTCAGGATAGAAACTACAAGATGGCTGACCAGGACCCTGGGGGCATTAGTCCCCTCCAACAAATGGTGGCTTCGGGGGCTGGAGCAGTGGTCACCTCCCTTTTCAGTAAGGCCTGGGGTAATGGGGTGAGGAGCAGCTGGAGAGCTGGGGTCTAGGACACACGGAGTTAGAAGTGATTTGAACTGGAGAGTAGGGGGCTTGGTTTGGAGGGAAAAAGTCAGAATGGGATCCGAAAGGAACCCTCTGAATTGTTCTCCCCCAGTGACACCCCTGGATGTGGTGAAAGTACGCTTGCAGTCCCAGCGCCCCTCAGTGGCCAGTGGTGAGTGCCTGGCCCAGGAGCCCACAGGGGGTGGTGCCTGGGCAATTAAGGAGCTCAGTAAGCTGGAGTTCCTGGAGCAGGTGGCCTTGGCCTGACTCTAGTGCTGCTGTGTATTTTAGAACTGACACCTCCTTCTAGACTCTGGAGCATCTCCTACACCAAATGTGAGTGCCCCAAGCCAAGGGTAGCCTGGGGTGGGGGTCCAGGAGAGGGAGTATCCTGGTGCCTCCCCTGACCTCTCATGTGCCTCCAGGGTATGTCAGCCAGCTCTGTGTCCTGCACAAGAACATCCCCCTGCCCAGGGACCCCAGCCCCTACTGCCTCTCCAGGAGTGGGGCCCATCACCCCTCTGCAGGGCTCCAGGGTCCTGTTATCCTAATGCCTTCTCCCCTTCCCCAGTGCCCGCCTCTCTCCAACCTACAGGGAAGTGCCTCCTGTACTGCAATGGTGTCCTGGAGCCCCTGTACTTGTGCCCAAATGGTGCCCGCTGTGCCAGCTGGTTTCAGGAGCCCACCCGCTTCACTGGCACTGTGGTGAGCAGCTGGCCCGTGGGATGGGCCCTGTAGGCATTCCCATGGGACTCAGAATGATCAGGCAGCAGACTCAGGAAAGGATAAGTAGGGCAAGGCTCATAGTGATGGTGGGTTCAGTCTTGGCAAGGGCCTCCCAGAGGAGGTTTGGAAGAGTCACTAGGGGTCTACCTGAAGCCAAAGAGGAAACAGCATGGCTGGAAGCTTGACAGACTACTGCAGGACCCAGGGCTGTGGGCAGAGGCCTACTGAATTAGGCAAGGGCCAGCCTGGGCCAGCCCCCATCACAGGCCTTCCTCTTTCCATTCTTCTTCCCTCTGGGCGGGGGCCTGCTTGGCCAGGATGCTTTTGTGAAGATTGTGAAGCACGAGGGCATCAGGACCCTGTGGAGTGGCCTCCCAGCCACCCTGTGAGTAGCCATCCCCTCCTGCGTAGACCCTTCTCTGGACTCCTCTGATCTTGCTTCCCAGATGGGTGGCCAGGTGGGGGCATGGGCAGGGGACAGTTCAGGATGTCCAGGGAAGACTTGGGAGCTTAGGAGGTTTGGAAGACTCAGCTAACCTCTGTCCACACCCCCAGGGTAATGACTGTGCCAGCCACTGCCATCTACTTCACTGCCTATGACCAACTTAAGACCTTCCTGTGTGGCCGAGCCTTGACCTCTGACCTCTACACACCCATGGTGGCTGGTGCTCTGGCCCGCCGTGAGTACAGCTAGGGCCCTGATCTCCCTGAGTCCCCACTGAGTCTGAACCTAGTCCTGGTTCCCAGTCTTGACCTCTGCCAGCCTGTGAGGGAAGAGGACATGCCTTAGGCCCCTAGCCCCACAGGGACTAGGGACCTGTGATCTGACCCCTCTCTATGTATCCCACCCCCACAGTGGGCACTGTGACTGTGATCAGCCCCTTGGAGCTGGTGCGCACGAAGCTGCAGGCTCAGCATGTGTCCTACCGTGAGCTGGGAGCCTCTGTCCAGGCTGCAGTGGCTCAGGGTGGCTGGCGTTCCCTGTGGCTGGGCTGGGGACCCACTGCCCTGCGGGATGTGCCCTTCTCAGGTAGGTACCCAGGGATGCAGGGGGTGGGGTAAGGGAGCCCTCGGGAGATGCTTAGGGGTCTGTAGCCAAGTCTTAATTCTGAGCCTTGGTTTCCTTGTCTGTGAAATGGGCGTAGCAGGTGTGGTATTTACTCAGACTTTTTGAAATAACTCCTGGGGAATACTGGCATATGGCAGTCAGAGGAAGGTGGGGTGTCTACGGCCCACCCACTACCCTTCCCTTTCATGGGTACCCCCATCTCCCCAGCCCTGTATTGGTTCAACTACGAGCTGGTGAAGAACTGGTTGAGTGGGCCCAGGCCAAAGGACCAGACGGCCGTGGGCATCAGCTTTGTGGCTGGTGGCATCTCAGGGACGGTGAGTTGATGGGGCCAGGTGAGGCCCACAGGAGTATCCTTGGGGCCTCGGAGGCTGTTGGAGATTCAGGGGAGGGGATGCCTGCGGAGCAGTGCTACAGTGGCCTGGCCAGTGGTGAGCGTGCCATCCCCTGCAGGCTTGGCTGAGGCTGGGGACCCTGTGAGGTCTTCGATGTCCCTCCCATCCGGAGAGTCCTCTCCTATAGCTGGGTGCAAGGATGGATTGGGAATGAAGCCAAGCTCTCTCCCTGCCCACCAGGTGGCGGCCATCCTGACTCTGCCCTTTGACGTAGTGAAGACTCAGCGCCAGGTCACTCTGGGAGCGATGGAGGCTGTGAGAGGTAAGGGGTTCGGCTGGCGTGGAGGGGCCAGCAGGGGCCTGAGGGGATCTGACTGGCAGGCCTCGCCCTTACAGTGAAGCCCCCACGTGTCGACTCCACCTGGCTGCTGCTGCGGAGGATCCAGGCCGAGTCGGGCACCAGAGGCCTCTTTGCAGGTGAGTATATGCGTCTGTCTGTCTCTCCCTGTGTGCTCTGGGCAGGGTTTGGGCTCTGGGGCCTGACCCCTCACTTGGCCTCCCCTTCCGACGCAGGCTTTCTCCCAAGGATCATCAAGGCAGCCCCCTCTTGTGCCATCATGATCAGCACTTACGAGTTCGGCAAAAGCTTCTTCCAGGAGCTTAACCAAGAGCGACGCCGGGGCCCTTGAAAGGGCCGGGATTTGAGGATCCCCATCTCTTCAACGGAGGAGGGGGCGGGGGCACAGAGGAGACTGAGCCAAGTGCCTTTTCCTCAGCACTGAGGGGCGGGCCATGCTTCCCTTCCCATTCTGGGCCCCCAGGCCTCTCTGACACAGCACTCTTCCTGCTGCTCCCCATTCCAGAGGTTCAAGGATCATCTCTTACCCATCTCTAAGATCAAGACCAAATATGCTACCTGCCCACACCCTCATTTCTTTCTGTATTTGCTACAGCTGGGCCTGCCTCTGTCTCCCCTACCTCCATTAATTCTTTAAGTTTAAAGATGATGAAAACTTTTGTCAAGTGTCCATGACTGGCTGGGGCAGGGTGGGGTGGGGTGGGGGGAGTAGGACTTAGTGGTTTGCAGCCAGGGGAGGGGCCCTGATGCAGGGTAGGGGACTGGGAGTGACTCCATTCAGAGAAGGCCCGTTGTGTTGGAGCCAGGGTGGGAAGTGGTGAGAGCATTCTTCAAGGATGCATGTAAGTGAACAGGAGAGGGAGGGTTTGCAATTTGGGGCTGAAGCTCAATTGCTTGAGACAGCAGAGGGAAACTGGCCCTGGCTAGGGCCAGCTCCTCCATCCTGCTCTCAGCAAGATTCAAAGACTATTGCATGGAAAGGACACACCGTGGCTCAGTCCTGCCCTGGGTCGACCCGATGGAGGTCACCTTAGTTACTGGCTCCACTGCCTGTCTGCTGACCTCAGGAAGGCCTTGTCCCAGCCCCTACAGACCAGGCTGTCCATAGTCCTCTGGTTTTTATTTGCCTGGCTCCCTCAGCACAGCCCCCCACCAGGGGGGACAAGAAGGGGTGACTGCAGGGGGTACACAGCTGACAGATGTATGGGAGGTGGGGGTGCGGAGGCTGTACCACCAGCTCCAGGGGATGGTGGGAGAAATGGGCAAAGGAGTGTCCAGCAGGGAGCCAGCCAGGCACCAGGGTAACCAGAAGGAAGGAGCAAGTGTCCCCAAGGCGCTTCTTAAGCCTTGTACCTCTGGCCTTCTGGCCTAACCAGCTCCCTCACAGCCCTGCCTCCAGCTGGAAATGAAAAAGGACAAGAAGCAAGGGTCTCTTCTTTTCCCAGAGATCTCTGGCTGGGTGGGCAGCATTCTCTGGAAGGGTGGTCTAGATGAGGGGACTCTGAGGAGGGGTGGTTGGTGTCCATGGCCCCAGGCAGGTGGGACTGGCCCTGCCCACGCTGCTCCTCAGCTGGGGCTCAGTGCTGGGCTGCCCTCTGGACTGTCGCTCACCAGGCACTCGTTGGATTTGAAGCTTGCCAGGGACTTGCAGCTGGGAATGGAGGCCAGGGAGCCGCAGAGGCCCAGCATGGAGGGCGTGGGGTCCTTCCCTGAGGAGAGAGGGTGGGTGAGGCCAGCTGACCACGCTGCATGGATGTGAGTGGAACAGGGGGTGGTGGTGCACCAGGATGGGGTAGTGAAGGGACAGTCTTCAGGTCAACCCCCAAGAGACTTTCCTGATTTCTTCTGGAGCATTTGCCCTTTTCAGTTAACCTTGGTTAAGTACCTGCCAGCACCATACCCAGTGCTGGCCACCAGGGACACTATCGTAACAGCTTGTGTCTGTCTCCCCCAAATGTTCAGCCTCTCTGTCCATTTATTAAGCACACAGTGAGTGCTTGCTATGTTCCAAGCACTGGGGATATACAGAGAGTGGACGAAACAGGTCCCTGCCCTCACGGAGCTCACAGTCTGGTGGGGGAGACACACACACACACACACACACACACAAAATCACAAACAGCATGGTGGGATTGTTACACGTCCAAGGCCTGCCTTGTCTCAAAGATCTAGGGCCATCCAGTGTAGTGTGGCTTAAAAAAAAAAAAAATACAGGAAATCCAGGCGCAAACTAGGATGAGAGAAACCAAGATGAAGCCAGGGGTGAGGTCAACACAAAATGCATGCGTTGAAGTCCTGAACATTCGCTTGAAGGGAGCTGCTAATTGGGCTCTGAGCTTCCTGGCAGCCAAAGAAAAGGGGGAAATAACAGTCAGGCGAGCAGTTGAAGCATACATGAGATAAGAGCAAATTAGTTAGGCTGAAGACCTCCCCACAAGAGTGTGAGCCCCTTGAGAAGGATGAGACCAAAAAGCCATTGAGCCCTCACTATATGCCAGCCACTGGCAGATATTTTAAACAACAGCCCCATTTTACAGAAGAGAACAGGGTTCAGTGAGGCAAAGTAATTGGCCAAGTTCATGCATCTGGGATTTGCACCCAGGTTGGCCTGACACCCCAAACCAAACTCTTAGTTGCTACACTTAAGCTCTCAGGAAGGGCTGTGAAAATGAGGGCATCTGCCTGGTCTCGGTTCCTTATGGGGTGGGGGAGGACTGGCTTGGGCAGGGGGATGCTCACCAATGGGCCCCCAGGGCTCCTCATCTCTCTTGCAGTCTGCCAGGCGCTGGGAGTCCGAGCTTAGACTGGCCTCGGCCGACAGTGGTTCCGTGCTCATGAAGCTGTGTCTACAGTGGAGGGCACAGCTGGCTTTGCAGGCAGTGACCTACAGCCCCCAAGATGCCCCTTCCCCAGGGACTTACCTCCGGTAGAGCTTAGGGTTGTTGGCACCCTCAGCCCCATTGAGCGTTCCCAGTGATGGCCACTGGTTGACCAGGGGCATAGTGAGCTCCTTAGACGCTTGGGTCAGAGGGGCGTGGTCACCAGGGATCAGACCTGTCCTAAGGGGTTAGGGGGAACAAGGAGAGTCAGGCCTGACTGGGAGAGGGAGCAGAAGTAGGGAGAGGAGGCTCAGCAGGAGGAGGGAGGGGGTTAGGAATGAAGCCTGGGTAGCAAAAGTGAGGATACAGTGTTGAAGGTCAATGGAGATGGCACTGGAGGTCGGAGGGGTGACTGCGATTAGTGCACTAATGTTGGGGCTGTAGGGAATAATGGGGTTTTGGGGGAGTAGATTGGGCAATCTACTTCCATAGTGATACTACCTTGGAAACCAAGGAGGGGTTGCTATGAGTCAGATCCAACTCGATGGCAGTGAGTTTTGAGTTCAGTTTGGTGATGCTGGGCGTCAATGGAGAATATTGTGAGAATCCCTGAAGGGTAATGGGGAATCTTGGGAGTCATGTTGTAAGGTCTTGGGGTGGGTGATAAGAAGAAAAGTGATAAGTAGGGGTGAGGTCAAGGGTCTGTTGATTAATAGGGGTCCTTTGGATGATAGTCAACAGGCCTATGTTGCAAATCTGAGGGGTGCTGAGCAACAATAAGACAGCCTTGGTGGCTGAGTGAGGTTAGAAGTCCTGTGAGTAAAGCCTAGGAGGAGGAGTAATGCAGGATGTCCAGCTGATGTCGGCAGTTATGGAGGGTGCAGTTGGGAGTCCCTGGATCTTCCGTGGGGGATCTTTGGGGATAATGTTAGAAGGTCAAGGGAGGTACTGAGGTGAAGGTGATGGGATCAGTGAGTCAAGGCTGGCGGTTAGTTGAGTTGGATGCTGGTGCCAGGAAAGGTGAATGTTAAGAGTCATGGGGGTAATATCACTTGAGGGGTTCGCTGGGGGGACAGGTTCTGGGTGGCTGAGGGCAGGGGCGAGGCGGCAACGCACTCACAGCTGCTCCTGCAGCTCCAGGATCACTCCCTCCAGCTCCCTCTTCTCGCGCTGGTTCTGCGCCGCCACCTCCTCCAGCTGCAGCTGCAGCCGCCGGTTCTCCGCCTCCAGGTCTTTCAGCTGCGACTCGCGCAGGCGCACCAGCTCCTCCAGGTAACCCTGCGGAGCGCCGGCTCAGCCCGGGCCGGGAAGACTCGCGCCCGCTGTAGCCCCCGTCGGTTGCGCCTTGTGCAGGCACAGTTGCACCCCACCCGCCGCTCGGCGCACCTTCTGCGCATAAACGATGCGGAACTTTTGCTCCATCTTGTGCCACTTGCTGTACCAGCTGTCCTCGTCCGTGACGAGCGGCAGATACGGGTGCTCGGGCGAGTAATCCTCGCTGGTGCTGCTCTCGGCGCTGTGCCGCTCCTCCTCGTCAGTCAGGTAGTCGTAGCTTCAGGGAGGCAGCAGTGGGCGCGGCTCAGCCCCTGCCCCGCCCCGCGTCCCAGACCAGCCCCCCCTGGGGCGGCAGGACCAGGATAGGATGCTAGCCTAGACGTCCCCACCTCTGTCAATGACCCTCAGAGCCCTGGGTCACCCAAGCCCACAGCGACGCCAGCTGCTCACCTCTGGGTGAACTTCAGGTAGGGCGTGTAATCGATGACCACGGGTGTCTTCCCATCCAGGACTTCGCCCTTTAGGCAGAAGCTGGAGCCAAGAAGCAGCAGGGTTAGGGCCGGGTAGGGTTAGGGATAGGGTTCATGGTGAAAACACTCCCTTCCACCACCACTCAGACCCCACCTGAAGTCGATGGCACTCAGTCCAATCAGCATACCGGTGAGGACCGTGGCTTCTTCCCGCAGCATGATGGCTCCAGAGTCATAGAAGCGTCTATGGGACAAGGGAGGGACTGATGGTCCACACCCTCCTCCCGAGTCCCCACCCTTCAGGACTTCTGCTTTCCTCCATGTCTTTCTTGGATCTTGCTGTTCCCTCAGATGGGCTCACTGGGGATAGGGCCAGTGTCTCCCACCTACTAGAAAGGATGCTCCCAGAGAATAGACTCCCTCCACCCTCTGAACCACCCCTTCCACCAACTACTGGGTCACCCAGCTCCTCAAAGTCAGGGAAAAAATGATATCATCAGCACTTGGCATATAGTAGGGGCTCAAAAAATCTGTTGACTTGAATTCTGAACTGTGAAGACAGGCTAGATACAGTAAAAGCCCAGATTGGATGTGGCCACCTTGAGGGCAAGGGGGCTCATATGGAGAGTACATGCCCCTACTGCTTCCAACAGTTTGAAACACACAGTCCAGGGCCTGAAACTGCACGCTGGGACTCTTTGGTCCCAGGTACCAGCTACAAAACTGCTGCCATTATCTGGGAAGCAGGCAGGGTTGTATGTCGGAGGTCATGGAACAAGACCAACAAGGAAAATGATACAGTGTTGAGTCTGGTCCAGAAGTGTGTCCAAGGGTAGAGCTGTGCATTATGGGAGTTGTGGGAGATAATGGAGCCTAGAATTTGACATGGAGGTGATGGTAGTGGTGGTGCCAAGAGTGAGTTCCAGGACAGCAAGACAGCCATACTAGGAAGATCTGGGAAAGAGAAGCTAGTAGTGCATGCTGGGACTTGTAGTCCAAGCACTGAAGGTTGTCACTGGACTTTAAAGCGAAGTGCTTTTAGGCAATGAACATTTATACTGGGACCCATGTCCAAGCTAACCATCAGATTAGATTCTGACCTAGTGGTCCGAGTGTCCCTCAGAGCCGTGGTGATGTATTCTGACATGCGTTTCTCCATCAGTGCCACCCGGATCCAGGCCCGGCCCTGCAAAGCACACTTTCACTTGGGGTCCCAGAAGGACTTTTGCAGCTTCCTGTCACCCCTCTCCCATTTCCTGTGGACAGGGTTGAAACCTAAGGAGCAGGCAGTCCCCCTGCATCCAGTGCCAAGGAGTATTGCCCTGGCCTCGCCCCTCCCCAGCCCCTCACCTTGGCTCGGGCTGTACTGATGTTTTCCATGTTCTCAATGCTGCTCACGCAATTGTTGGGCACTTTGCTGCAGGCCAGCCGGATGTAGTCCCAGAAGCCCCGCTGCCCATCTGAGCTGAACCAGCTCACCGGACCTGCTGGGGCACAAGCTGAGCCAGGGCAGGGAGGGGAGCTCAGCAAGGCCAGGGCGTTTGGAGAGGGTCCATGTAATGCAGCACGCACATATGTAAGTATGGGTAGCCGCATGCACACACAGTGCACACACACATGCGTGCATTCAGAAAGCACACTGGCCTAGAGCTCAGGCCCTTGATGTGGCTGGTGGGCATTCACTGTTTCCAGAAGGCCCCTCCCTTCCCCCAGCTCAATGCATGAGCTTCTGGGCCTGGCCCAGCTTTGGGACCAGGGTCAATGATGGGATTCAGAAAGCCATGAGCATGTCAGAGTGGGGTGACTGACCCTAAGGGCTGTGAGTTGTGGGGGGGACAGGAGTCCAGGCCCACCTTTGAAACGGTGGCTAAGGATCTGCTCTAAGATGGCTGCAAAATTCACAAACTCCTCAGATGAGTCATCGATGGGCTCGGCTGTGTACTTCTCCAGCAATGTTTTCACAGAGAACCTGGGAAGAGGGAGCTGGTCAATGTCAGGTGAAAAGACAGGTTGGGGGAGGAAGAGGAAGAGTATCAGGCCAAGAGAGGAGCCAGGGGCAGCAAAGAGGGTGTGGATGTGGTGGGGAGGCAGAGGGAAAGAGATGGGGATGACAGGTGAGAATATAATGACAATCCAGACTGAGTGCCATTGAGTTGATTCTGACTCATAGCAACCCCCACTGGGTTTCAAGACTGTAGATCTTTACAGAAGCAGACTGCCTCATCTTTCTTCCCCAGAGTGGCTGGTTAGTTCGAATCACTGACCTTTTGGTTAGTAGCCAAATGCCTTAACCACTACACCACCAGAGCTCCTTATAGTGACCAACCACTTCATTGAGTCAATTTCAATTCATAGTGACCCCCATTGGGTTTCCAAGGTGGAAGATCTTTACGGAAGTAGATTGCCCCATCTTCCTTCTGTGGAGTGGCTGGTGGGTTTGAACTGCCAACCTGGTTAGTGGTCAAATGCCTTAAGCACTATGCCACCAGAGCTCCTTATAATGACCATAGGGGTGCTATAACATATGGAGTGACAAGGTGGCAGGTGGGGAGGGAGGATGACAGGTAAGAGACTTATTGATGGAGTGACAGGAGAGGTGACAGGCAGAGGAAGCTTTGGCAACAAACTGTGGGAGGGAATGAAACAGGTAGAGAGATGGGGCACCAAGGCCAGGAGGCTGTCCCAGAGCCCCATCTCCAGGGATCCCCTTCCTCCTTTAGTATCATTCCCTATGCGTGTGACTTGGAGATCACTCAAGAGGAAGAAGCCAGTTTATGCCCTACCCTGAGCTGGCTTCTGCTATTGCTATTGCTGGGACAACCTGCTGTCCCCTCTGGGGGGTGGGGGAGTCACCTGTGTCAGGGCATGTGATTGGCACTGTGCACATGGAGCGTGGGCATGCATGGATGGCCAGGTGGGCTCTCAGCAAACAGATACCCCCTTCTGCCTTTTCTTCCCAGCTCGGCCACCCACACACCAGCTGCCCAGATCCAAGCGGTGCAGAGCTGGGCGGGGGGAGGTGCAGGGTGCAGGTCTGATACATACATTGAGCGAGAGGTGGCATTGGCAGCAGATCCCTGGGAGGGGGCTTGGGGGCCAGAACACGTGGCTTGTCAGAGAGGAGAGAGCTGAGGGAAGCCAGAGAGGCTGAGGCACTGAGCTAAGCAGCCTGCCCCATTCCTGTCTCCAGTTCTGCTCAAAGCCTCAGGCTCCCTCTGCAATCCCTCCCCTGCAATCTCCACAGTCTGCAGTAGGGTGGGGCTGGGACAAGGACACGGATCCCAATATCCCATTACTGCCCTGTTGTGGATGACAGAGCAGGGCTGGGGGCACCAGGGGTATGGGGGCTGCTTGGAACTGTCCTTTTTGCTTCCTAAATTTACTAAGCCCTTCTAGTGCAAGAACACTTTGCATGTGTTATCTCATCCAATCCTCACAGCAGCATTCTTATCATCATCATCATCCCCATTTTACAGGTAAGGAAACTGAGGCTTCATAATCCGTTTAGGATACTAGTAATGAGTTAGACAGGTATGTCTGATTCTAAAGTGCTTGTTCTTTCTGTTACATCTGTGGCCTCTTGGGGGCTGTCACACTTAGGGCCCTTCAGTAGCCCCTGACTCCTCTGCCTTTCGTCCTCCACCCTGCAAGTCTCCGTCTCTGGAGTACTGGTCTGAGACTCTCAGGCCAATGGCACAGCTGAACCCATGGGAGCCCCTCCCCTTCCCTTTGAGCTCAGTGTTGTTCTGGCCTGAGATCAGAGCCAGGTGGGTCTTGATTGGGGTTACAATAGGGGGAGGCAGCCTGGTAGATTCAAATTTTGTTTTCTTATAGCACTATGTGGACTTGGGCAAGTCATCCTACCTTTCTGAGCCCATTTTCCTGTGTGTAAACAGAGATCATAGTAGTTGCCTCAATAAATGTTGGTCCCCATCTCAGGCAGGGCTGGGAAAAGGGGACTGTGTATGGGCCATTGGGCAAGGGGTGGTGAGAAGCTGGGCCTCACTAGGAAGGAGTCTTTGTTTAGGGCATTGGCTGGGTTTCATTATAGTCCTCCCTGATGATTTCTTCTGGTCGTCTGTGTCAGGCCTTGGTAGGGGTGCGGGACAAGGTACTATGTGGCAGCCATCTGTCATCTGTCCTCAGGGGTGCTGCAGAGCTGGTCATCATCCCCAGGAGCTCCATGGTGTGCTCCTACTTAGAAGGTGCAGTGGCTGCTGCAGGTTACCATGGAGATGGGGAGGCCAGAGCCCAGGGGAACCCTTGGCCTGCTAAAGGGAGCTGTTCTGGGAGCTGGAGGGAAACCACGTGACAGTGATGAGGCGGCAGGGGCCTGAGGGCTTTCTGAGCCTTTGTCATGACCTGATCTCCAAAAACCCTACCCCTTCTCTCAGCCCACCACTGATCCACCCGAACCTCTGCTTCTCCATCCTACACTAGGGGAGGTCTCCCCTTCCCCTCCACACTCAAAAGCTTCTGCTATCCTGGTAAGCAAGAGAAAGAAGAGGAACCTGGGAGGGCAAGAGTGATGAGAAGGATAGGAGGTGTGTCATCAGGATGTGGCTGTTTCTGTGTGCCAGGCACTGTGCTAGGTCCTTACATGGGTCCTATCAAAATCATTCTCTGGGGTGTCTGTTATAGACATGGGCATGATGAGGCACCCAAGGTCCAGAGTGGTCAGGAGACTTCCTCAAGGTTACACAGCTAATAAATGGGTGAAGTGAGAGCTTGAACCTAGGACTTTTTGGCCCCAAAGGTCGAAATCTTTGTTTATACCACACTGGCAGGCTGGGCATGAGGGTGGGGGTACTGGCCTGTGCTCTGGGCTGGGCCATCACTGTACTTATTCCTTCCACAACATTCAAAACATTTTTGCAGAAGTTTTGATGTGTACAGCACTGTGCTAAGCAGTTGGGTTATAATGATGTGAGACAGACATAGCATGGTTGGGTGTGTGCCCAGGAATCTGGAAGGAGCTAAAGGAGGAACTGGGACATCAGGTGGGCACTGATTCCTGGGGGAAGAGGCAGGGCCAAAGTCTGTGTACAAGGCAAGTGGGGCTGGCAAGAGAAGCCTGCTGAGTCCTGCAACCGGGTTCACCCTGCACTGAAAGGGCCTACTCTCCAACACCTGGGGAGGTTGCAGGTAAAGAAGGCACTGGCATGGGGACCCCAGAGGGAGAGATGGTTGAGGGTTGCAGGGAGAGTGAGTGGCTGAGTGGCTGGCCACTTCTTGACTAGGGCAGAACAGGGAGGGTGAGTCACTGCAGGGCTGAAGTGGGAAGGACCACCTCCTGGGTCCCAAGAGGGCAGGTGAGTCTTCCCAATACTGCGACAGCCCCACCCTCAGGGACCAAGGGCATTGCCCCCATCCTCCTCTCCTTGAACCCACAGGACCCAGGCTGCCATGGCCAGCCCTCAGTTCTTCCCGCGGCAGTGCAGCACACCTCACCCTTGGCTGCCTCAGTTCAGGGCTTTGCACACTGCCCAGATGATCCTGCCACAGGCTGCAGTCGCAGAGATGAAAGACGCATGGTCCCTGCTCCAAGACTTGGGAGGTGACAAGTCTCCCAGGCAAAGCCCCACCCCAGAGAGGCCCTGATGACAGCTATGGGGGTGAGGGTACCCTGGGAGAGCATTCATCTCCCCCATCAGTTCTAGGCCTGCCCGGCTGCAAGGAACCGAGACAAACCTCCCCCTCCCCCTCCCAAACAATGTCACTTCCTGGTTCTCACAGGAAGCTGCAGTGCCAATTAAACCCCCCTCACCCCCAGGTCCTTGGCTGTGCACCGGCCTGCCTTGGCCTAGAAGGGTAGGGACCAGACCTCCAGCCCCTTCCCCATTCTGGGCCTGGGAGGAGCCGCGGACCGCCCACTTTTAACCCGTTTCTTCCCTCCTTGCTCTCAGCTGCTGTGCCTCCTCCCGCGGACGCGCTGGGTCCAGGTTTCCGCAGCCGCCCCAGCCCCGCTCCCTGACCACCCGCCCCCAACCCGCCAGCGGCACCCACCTGCACACGGTGATCAGGTTCCTACGCTCCACAGCCACGTTGCGGGAAGATGCTTTCTTGGAGGACAGCCCCAGAGCCATGGTGGTCTGGACAAAGCTCGCTTCCATCCACATGTGCGGCCACTGCTGCCGCTGCCCGCTGCCCCCCAACCCGCCCGGAGTCCCGGCCCCGCCGCCGGCCTACGGCTGTGCCCTCTGCCCGCCGGGGCCCCTCGACTCCTCCGCAGCCATTCCCCTGCCTCCGCGCCTAGCGCCCGGCCCCCTCGCTCCCTCCCCCGGCGGCGACTCCGGAGCAAAACAAGGCCGGGGAGGGAGCTCTCCGAGGTGCTGAGCCGGGTCCCGTCACCCCCCTCCCCCAACTGCCCGCCCCCCGCGGTCAGTGACGTCAGGCCCTAGGGCCCCGCCCCCAGGCAGGCCAGGGACCAATCCGCAGAGGGTGCAGGGTTTGGGAGCGAAGGGGGAAGGGCTGGAGACCTGGGGAGGGCAGAGGGGGTCCCCGCGAGAGGCAGAAATTGGAGGGGGACATCTAGCCTGTCCTCTACCCCCACACTCAGGGACCAGGTCGCGTCTCTGAGCTCCGCCGCCTCTCCGCCCTCGTTTCTGACTTGTGATGAGTGGTGTCTATCTCTGATTTCGCCCCCTGTTGCCCGGAGAATGGAGGGCCTCACCTCCAATACCCTATCCTGGCCCCGCCCCCCACCCATTCAGCAGCGGTATTCTCCGCCAGGCCTGGAGTAGCTGCCATAGGAGAGTGTAGGGGCCCTCTGCAGCTGACCCAGGCAGGAGAGAAGCAGTCGGAAGAATTGCGTGTCTGTCTGTCTGAGTCCAGGTTTGACTAGTCTGTCTGCATCAGCCCTGGGGAATCAACCTCTCGGAGTGGAGGATGGGTATCCAGAATCAGCCCCAAGAGCCCAGCGCCTGGAGCCACGTAGGACAGCAGCGGGGAGTGGACAGGCAGCTAAGGGATCCGGGCCACTAGGAGGTTCCCAGCGGTAGAGCTGGTGCCCACAGTGGTGCCAAGGCAGCCAGAGGGAATGGTAGCCAAGGCACTGGCTCCCCTCTATCCTCCCTACCCCCTCATACCACCCCAAGGCCAACTGGGCTAAATTGTTAACTCCTTGGCTACCAGTATTGCTGCATTATGCAATTAACCACTCTGAATGGGGTCATTGATCCCATTCAAGCCTTGGAGGGCTCCACAAAGCTGGTTGCACAGGTAGATGGGAAAATGGGAACAGTCTTGCTGCCCATGGCCTCCTGATTACTCTCCCACATCCCTACTCCCGGCTGGCCCATTCCTCTATTAAGCCTGTTCTAGGGTTCCCATCCATTGAAGTTGCGAGCTCCCACAGAAAGCCTTTCTGCTTTGATAAAAGTGGCTCTATCTCATCTCCCCATCCAGCTTCAGAAACTCCAGCCCAGGATTCAGCTCATATCTATTCACTAACCCACTCGATCCATTTCTCTACTCTGCTAATTGATGATCAATGTGCCCACATTGTTCAGATGTGCACCCGTGTCTGAATATGATCAGAAGATAGGGCCTCTTGGTTAGCACAAGATGAAGGACCTACAGAAAGAAGGTCCCAACCCTGGTGTGATTCTTTTTTTTTTTTTGATTTGGGTGAAGATTTACAGAGTAAATTCACTTTTCATACAACAGTTCACATAATATACTTTGTCTCATGTCATTGACCAACATTTACAATGCAACAGCTCCCCTCCCACTTCCTCCCTATAGTTACCTCCTCCCAGTGTCCATCCCTCCATGCTCTTCTGCACCCTGAGCTATCTGCCTGTACATAAGCAGCCCTTCCTTCTCCCATGATTGTTCTCTCCAGGGCGTGTGTCTACTTGAAGTAAATGTTTAATTCACATGCCTGTACTTTGTTTGGCTGGAAACCACAGGTGTGGCTTCAATTCCTGGTGTGATTCTTGAGGGCTGCGGAGAAGGTTGACTCCCTAAGTCAAGGTCTGATGCTGACACAGCCCTAGCCTCAATTCTTGGCTTCTGTGTCTTCAGATTTGGTCATTGGGCCCCACCTCTGCCTTCTCCTTCTTGCCTCACCTCTGGAAACCCCTCTTAGCATCCTCCTACCTCCAGACCCACAGCCAGTGGCAGTTGTGACTTTTTTTTCACTTTTTAATGTGCACAATAGATCTTATGCACAGAACAGCACATAAGACATATGTGTACAGTTTAAGACTGTTTATGAAGCAAACACCTGTGTCTTAACCTCAAAGGTCAAGACACAGCATCATTAGCACCCTCGGGCCTCCAAAATGACCCTCCCAGATATCTTCATCTATCCCCCCAAGAGGTAATTACTGTCCTAACTTTTGTGATAATTTTCCTTTGCTTTTCTTTAAGGAGCTCTGGTGGTGCAGTGCCTAGGGCATCTGACTGCTAACCAGGTCGGAGGTTCAAACCCACCAGACACTTGGAAGGAAGATGGGGCAATCTACTTCCCAAAAGATACACTGCCTTGGAAAACCACTGGGGGTCACCGTGAGTCAGATCAACTTGATGGCAGTGGTTTGGTTTGATTTGGTTTTGCTTTGCTTTGTAGTTTGATCACCTATGTGTGCATAAACAAATAATATAATTTAATGTTGCCAGTTTTTAACCTTTATAGGAATGAAGCCATATTGTATGAATCAGCTGTGATTTCCTCTCAATATTATATTTGGAAGACTGTATAACTATACCACAATTTATCTATTCTGCCATCAATGGTAATTTTGTATATCAGATAGCTCTAGTCAGGAAAACAGAAACCACATTATATATTTCAAATAGAGGGGATTTAATACAGGGAATTGGTTACACAGGAGTTGGAAAACTACAAGAGCAAAAGAGAAAACAGCAAGACAATCCAGAACTACTGTATCAATTTCTATTTCTGCCATAATAAATTACCACAAAGTAGGTAACTTAGAACAACTTAAATTTCTTCTCTCACAGTTCTGGAGGCACAATCAAGGTGTTAGCAGAGGCATGCCCCCCTCTGAAGACTTTGGGAAGAGTCTTTCTTTGCCTTTTTCAGCTTCTGGTGGCCCCAGGCATTCCTTGGTTTATGGCAGCATAGCTCCAACCTCTGTCTCCATCTTCAGGTCATCTTCACTGTGTGTGTCTGTGTATTCCTTTCTTTTTCTTATAACAACACCAGTCACTGGATTTAGAGCCCACTCTTAATCCAAGTTGACTTCATCTTGAAATCTTTAACAAATTACATCTGCAAAGACCCTATTTTCAAATAAGGTCACTTCATAGGTATGGGGGGAGGGTAGGATTTGAACATATCTTTTTTGAGAGATATCATTCAACACACTACAACTGGTTACTGTGGGAAGCAGCTAAGGCTGAGGAACAAAAGGCAAGATGTGAAGTTACCACAACCTAGGAGCTCAGAGGCATTTACAAGGCTGGCTCTCAGAATACATAAAGAAGCTGAAGACTGGAACCAACTCCCAGTGAGAGAGTGACACTGATAAAAACAGGAAAAAATGTGAAAATCCTTCTCCCTTTCTTCTGTCTCCCACTGTCCCTCTAAAAACCCACTGCTGTCAAGTCAGATCTGACTCATAGCAACCCCTCCTTGGGTTTCCGAGGCAGTATCACTATGGAAGTAGATTGCCCAATCTTCCTTCCGAGGAGTGGCTGGTGGGTTTGAACCTCCAACCTGGTTAGCAGTCAGATGCCTTAGGCACTGCACCACCAGAGCTCCTACTGTCCCTCTAGTGCCTCCTATTATCAGAACATAACAGAAAGCCGCAGAATCTGGGAAATGAGTTTGAAGAGTCCCAGCTCCACCTACCATCTGAGAGTAAAGAGAGCTGAAAAGCAATATATAAATAATTGGCACAGTCCACCCTTTTGTCTATTCAGCACCTATAGCCATCTTTCTATACATGTTCAGACAATAACAACATCTTGCCTCTGCCTAACAAGATGCAACTATCCTTTGCACAAATGAAAATGTTCCGATCCCCCTCCCCAAAAAAAAGTCCCAACAGTAACAGTATCCATCTCTGGGTGACAGTAATAGTGAACATAAACAAGTGGTAGCCCTAATTAAGCTACTGTGCCGGATGTCACAGCTTTTCTAGAACCAATCAACACAGCCCCTGCCATTTATTATGTTGCTATTAATCTGGTGAAAGAAGGAGAATTAGAAGCAGCTCCCCTCCCTTGGGAAAAACAACAGTACACATTCACAATCTTTCCCCAGGGCTCTCCTGCTTTCTGTTACAATATAGCCCAAAGGGACCTTGATCATCTGGGTATTCCACAGAATATCGCACTGATCCACTATGTTTATGAAACCAAGCTAATAAAGCCTAGTCAGCAGGAAGTGGCAAGTGCTCTAGATGCCCTGGGAAGGTATATGCATAGAAGGGGGAATGATAAAGACTCAGGGGTCTTAGTGAAAATTTTAGGGGTCCAGTGGTCTGCTATCATCTTGTACCTCCAGCCACTAAGAAAGAGACACAGAGTTTGGTAGGCCTCTTCAGATTTTGGAGATAGCACATATGTACCACACTTGGGAATACTGCTCTAACTGACTTATCAGGTAACTCAGAAGGCTGTCAGTTTTGAGTGAGGCCCAAAACAAGAGAAAGGTTTCTCAGGTCCAGGTCCTAATGGAAGTTTCCCTGACACTTGGGCCATATACCCCAGCAGATGTCATCTATCTCTGATCGAGAGAGATGCTCTGTGGAGTCTCTGACAAGCCCCAAAGGTTCTAGCACAAGGCCACACCATCTGCAGTAGAAGATGGATCAAGATTAAAACAAAATATGTCCTGATGTGCTACTGAGACTGGACCCAGGGGGATGGAAGCTGTGCAGGGGTTCTACAGCATGGGATCCCTCTCATTAGGGCTGATCTAGCATTGCTGCTGCTGCTGCTGGTCCAATCTGTGAGCAGCAGAGACAATGCAGAGCCCTCCACATGGCCCCATCTCTGAAGGACACTGACCAACTTCATCCCATCAGATTTCTTTCACTTTGGGTGTGGGGGAGTTATCTGTCCTTTTGGGACTGATACATAATCTGGCTTTCCTGAGTACAGCATCTCAGCTAACACCACTATGCAAGTCATCACAGAGTTTCTAATTTAGCAACGTGTATCCTAATAACATCATTTTGGACCAAGCGACTCACTTTAAAACAAAGAAGATATGACAATGGCACATGACCGTAGGCTCCATGGCCTACTCTATATCCCATGTCTTAGATATCTAGTGTTGCTATAACAGAAATACCACAAGTGGATGGCTTTAATAAACAGAAATCTATTCTATCACAAATTAGGAGGCTACAAGTCTGAATTCAGAGTGCTGGCTCTAGGGGAAGGCTTTCTCTCTCTCTTAGCTTTG